GTAGAAGTCAAACCCTGAAAACAAACATTAGCAATCTAGCATCAGACTTTTTTTCAGAAAGGAAGAAAAACGAGATTTTATGGGGGTTTTCGCTGGGGTTCATGGGGAGAGAATCAGTAGCTTTCTGAGATCGCTGTTAAAGGATTGGGAGAAGAGACAGGGCCTTTGGGTTAATGGAAGGGACATTTGGTGACAGAGGAAAACAGAGCTTGGGGCGAACATCAGAGAGGGTCCTGTGGCTATGGAGAGGTCTCCCTAAGAAGAGACAGGACTCTGTCCCCTGCCACAGCAAGGTCTAGGGACGGATGTGGAGTGTGTAAATTAGAAACTGAATTTGGATGTGGAAAGAATGAGCAGAGAAGACACACCCAGAGCTGGCGCAGCCACTGCCCATTCTCAGCCAGACCTTATTGCAGGCGGCTCTGATCAATAGTCAAGGAGGCAGTGGAGGTGGCAGACTTAATTCATTAAACCACCAAAGCATCAGCCCACATGGCCACTTTTCCAGTTAATTCACAGTAGCTTGCATATTCAGGTTTGATCAGTGAAAGGGAAGTTACTCTTTGCAGACCCATCTTTTGACAAGCATTTTGCAGTGTCAGAAGGTCTGAGCAGCCTTGGGAGGCAAGGAGACCCTGGTCCCTCAGTGTAGTCACTGGAGGAGACAGTCACTGAGAGGCAGCTGGCAGGGTGAAGGGAGAGGGGAGGAAGGCCACAGAGATAACAGCCTTTAAAATAAACTGTCATATTGAGTGGGGGGGGTCAAGGATCTGAAAGATAGAGGAAGGAGAATTCTTTATCATTAAGGACCTGTCTTTGTCTCAGGCATCTCCTCCAGAGCATCACCTTTGTCCACCCACACATCTCGGGCTAGGAGGACTGGAGAAAGACAATGAGGGGGTCTCTTGGGTCTCTGGCAGAGGGCGTGATGTAGAGGTGTCAGTTGTTCAGGAATCTCTGTCTCTAGGGAACCAAATACATTTCCCATCTCAGATCCTTCCTCACTGGGGTTGGGGTTCTGCTCATCACCATCGCTGAATGCCAACACTCTCAAGTGTAAAATCTCAGCCACAGCCCTTCCTCTGCCGTCCCGGCAGGGCCGACGTTCTCCATAAGCCATAAGGCATCAGGCCCACAGAAAAGCCAAACAGGAAACCATGCGCCACTGCCCCGGAGCCATCCAAGCACCTTCTCCATATTCAGCCACTACTAAGTGTCCAGCTTATTCCTCCTGGCATGTAGTGTAAACACAGAGAACACTACTGAAGTACCAGTCCTCTCTTAAGGTTTTCCTGTATTTAGTGATTTTTTAGCCCTATACTGTGATATTAAGAAGTAGGGCCTGAAAAGTATTGCTAAAATTTCATTATGACAGTGCAGAGGACTGAGGGCAGAGGGACGACATGAGCTTGCCAGGTCCACATCGCTTAGTGGAATTTGAATCCGGGCCCGCACTCTGCACCAGCCCTCCACTCGCAGTCATCCTGCTGTGTTCTCTCCGTGAAGGCACTGCCCACAGTCTGTCTGATAGAGGTGTTGTGTGCTCACTGAACTCCGTAATCTTCCTGAAACCCAACTTTGATTCAGCAGGCTCTGCTTGGAAGCCTGTAAAGGACAGGATCGTAAGTTTAAACTTAGATTATCACTATTTTCCCTCTGGTCTTCTGTCAGCAAGATGTCAACAGTCCTCTCTATTGTAAATGCATTAACCAGCATCTTCTCTGATAGGTATTTTAAGAAGATATGCCGTATCCACCTCTCAGGGTCAGAGACCTCGTAGCTCCTGGGTAAAGAAGGGAATATACCCAGTAGAAGGTACTGTGGAAATTCATTAAATAAGTTGATTCTAGAATCACAATTGTGGGGAGTATTCAGTGTCCCATATGTAAGAGGAAACTATGAAGAGACTAAGCTATATTTTTTAATGTGTCAGAATTCTAATTTGCCGAGTCAGCAAATACTGTGACAACCACAAAGTAAGTAGCCACTTAAAAGTCAATTTTGGTTCATGTTTAATGATAGACAATGTTTCAAGCTAATGTCTAGAACTTACCTGGTTGTTAATCATTAGCATAGATCTTCCTGAAAGAGTGGTGCGATATTATTATCATTATTATTATTATTATTATTATTTTTTTTTTTTTGAGACGGAGTCTCGCTCTGCCGCCCAGGCTGGAGTGCAGTGGCCGGATCTCAGCTCACTGCAAGCTCCGCCTCCTGGGTTCACGCCATTCTCCTGCCTCAGCCTCCTGAGTAGCTGGGACTACAGGCGCCCGCCACCGCGCCCGGCTAGTTTTTTGTATTTTTTAGTAGAGACGGGGTTTCACTGTGTTAGCCAGGATGGTCTCGATCTCCTGACCTCGTGATCCGCCCGTCTCGGCCTCCCAAAGTGCTGGGATTACAGGCTTGAGCCACCGCGCCCGGCCGATATTATTATTTTTAAATTAATATAAAGTAAGTACAAATTAATTGACATAAAAATTGAGCATATGGCCAGGCGTGGTGGCTCATGCTTATAATCCCAGCACTTTAGGAGGCCAAGGCAGGCGGCTCAATTGAGGTTGGGAGTTGGAGACCAGCCTGGCCAATATGGTGAAAACCCATCTCTACTAAAAATACAAAAAAATTAGCCAGGTGAGATTACAGGTGCCTGTAATCTCAGCTACTCAGGAGGCTGAAGCAGGAGAATCACTTGAACCCGGGAGGTAGAGGTTGCAGCGAGCCAAGATCATGCCATTGCACTCCACGCTGGGCAACAAGAGTGAAACTCCATCTCAAAAAAAAAAAAAAAAAATTGAGCATATAATACACAAAGTTCCCACATTATTCTGTCTCCTCACCCTCACTTCCTAATTTCACCTGTTATTAACATCTTACATTACTGTGGTACATTTGCTAAAATCATGAGAAAATATTGACACATTGTTATCTGAAGTCTATCATTTGCATAATGTTCATTCTGTTCCACATTTATATGACGTTTGAAATATTTACAACTTTATGTTCACCATTATGTTCTCATAAAGAATATGCTCACCTCCCTAAAAATCCCCTCTTCTCACTCATTAATCTCTGTCCTCTTTCTCCAGAAACCTTGGCAACTATTAATATTTTTACTATCGCTTCAGTTTTGCCTATCCCAGAATGTCATATAGTTGGAATCATATATTATGTAGCTTTTTCAGATGAATTTATGTCACTAAATTGATGTATATTTAAGTTTCCTTCATGTCCTTTTTATACCTTAATGGCATAAAATGCACATTAAATCACCAAATAATATTGCATTAAATAGATTTTTGTCTTTTTATTCACCTCTTGAAGAATTTGGTAGATTTCATGAGAGAAACCATCTGGGTCTGGTGCTTTCTTTTTTGGAATGCTCTTAATGTGAATTCAACCTATTTAATAGACATAAGTTTATTCAAATTACCTAGGATTCTGGTGTGACCTTGGGAAGAGTGTCTTTTAAGGACTTGATACATTTCACTGAGGTTATCGAACTGTGGTCATAGAATTGTTCATAATATTCCTTGATTATCCTTTTACTGCCCAACAGTTCAGTCGAGATGGCTCCTGTATTATTTCTGAAATTGGTCATTTGTGTTATCTTCTTTTTCTTGGTTAGCCTGCGTAGAAGTTCATTCATTGTAATTAGCATCTCAAATAACCAACTTTTGGTTTTAATGATTTTCTGATGATTTCAGCGTTTTAATTTTATTGACTTCTGTGATGTTATTACTTCTACTTGCTTTACATTGCATTCCTTTATTTTCTACAGTTTCCTAATTGAAACGTGATATTACTGATTTTAGATTTTGTAATTTGTAATATATTGCATCCAATGCTATGAATTCCCCTCTATGGACTGCTTTTGTTACATCCGGAAATCTCGTCAAGTCACATTTTCATTTAATGTAGTTAAAGGTATTTTTAATTTTCTATTGAAACTTTAATCCATGAGTTATTTAAAAATGCATTGCTAATTTGCAAATATTTGGGGATTTTTCTGGCTCTTTTACATCTGTTGATTTTTTGTTGTCAGGTATGTGTTGCAAAAGCGGTGATCTATCTCATGTTGCCACCACCCAAGATGGCCCAGGATGTGGGCTCTCCCTGAGTGAATGTTCGGCAATCTGGCAGCCTGATGTGGTCGGCCTCTTCCTTTAGTCTGAGTTTGCTTTCTGCTTAGAAAAGGCCATTCTCAGTTCTGGCAGGGAGTTTTCCTAACTTTGAGAGGTGACATTCTCACTCCCCAGTGCAGCCTGCACCTCTGGCCTGTGGTCAGCAGACAGGACAGAGGCCCTCAGTAGACAGAGATCAGCAGAGTCTCTGACCGAAGTGCATCTTCAGAGTCTGCACCTAACCCCCTGTGACCACAGGCAGGCTCTGTGTCCTAAATGAGGAGGAACTGTGCGACCATCATGATTGGAAATTTGTAAGGATCACCATGTTACTCAAGTAAGGTCTTTGGAAAGTGTCGTGTTACTACTGTTTGTTAACTGCTTGTTGGTGGCCTGGCTGAGCCACACCCTTTATGAAAACCAGGACCCCTCAGCCGGTGTGGGTGTCTGTGCAGCCTGAGACCCCTCATGTGAACAGTCCTTTGCTGCTTTATTTGTCATCGTGCCTTACGTGTAACTTGCAGCATTTGATTACGCCTATGTTTTGTGGTGATAATACTTTCTTTTTTTTTTTTTTTTTTTTTGTTGAGACGGAGTCTCGCTCTGTCACCCAGGCTGGAGTGCAGTGGCTGGATCTCGGCTCACTGCAAGCTCCGCCTCCCGGGTTTACGTCATTCTCCTGCCTCAGCCTCCCGAGTAGCTGGGACTACAGGCGCCCGCCACCTCGCCCGGCTAGATTTTTGTATTTTTTTAGTAGAGACGGGGTTTCACTGTGTTAGCCAGGATGGTCTCGATCTCCTGACCTCGTGATCCACCTGTCTCGGCCTCCCAAAGTGCTGGGATTACAGGCTTGAGCCACCGCGCCCGGCCGGTGATAATACTTTCAACTATTCCTAAAATATTGCTTCAGTCTTATCTGTTTGGGGTCAATTGCTGAGGATTTCATACAAATTGATGAAGTTTGTGAATCTAAAGTTCTACACAAAGGGAGACATCAATCCTACAAGCTAATGCTGTTTTACAGGGTTTAGAAAACCATTTAGCTGGGTTTCAAACCTCACGGTGTGAGCAGTGGGACTCTCATCCGATTATAGCATGTGCTTCAGTACCATTTGTAGACTGACTCATTCCCGTTGCCTTAAGTTGCCATCAGCAAAATGCCAGGGACTCTGTTTCTCGCTCCTCAGTTCCTTGTTCTTGCCTGTCTTTCCATGAGGGAAGATTTTCTAGCAGCAGCTCAAGCTGTGCTTTTAATGAAACATATCTGCACACACTGTCCTGTTGTCCACAGTAAGCAGAGCTCCCTGAATAACTCATGAACAAAAGCATCTATGACTAACTGTTGCTCTATGTCCTTCTAGCCTTTGAGGAGTCTCCAACTCACAAGGACAGAGGAGATGGAGAGAGGCTGGTCAACACGAGGGTAAGGTTGCGTTGCTTTCCCTGAAACAGAAATGTTCCTTTCTTGGCATCTTTCTTTTTCAATTGACTTTACGTGTGAAAAAATGACAGTGTACATTACAGGTATTAAATGCAGTTTTCTGAGGGGGTGGAAGAAGCGACTCTTAGCAACTGATACGTAATCCAAAATGGCATTTACCTATGACGGCTGCAGGTTGTACACTGTATCCTTGGGGCCCTTGTCCTTGGAAGCAATGTCTTCTCCTTGGATTCAGTATTTTGCACTTGCCAACCTACGTGGACCTGAGAGATCCAACATCCAGAAGCTGATATCTTTTCTAGTGTGTATCCTACCCTTGTTAGGGGGGCCTTGAAGTTGACCACACTTTCTGATCTTGTTTTCAGTATTCACTGAGAGAAACAGAGCCTTGTACAAACAATCCACAACACGACGTACCCCTCATAAAGCTTTGTTTCTGTATTACAGGTGGTGCAGGTGGTCCCTCTGAGGTTTGACTCTAGTAAGTATTCTGGAATTACTTGCAAAGAAAGCAATCTGAATGCAAAGAAAGGTGTGGCATCCTTGCAGGTTTCAATGTGAAGAGCCACCCTGAGCATGGGACTCTGATAGGAATAAGCATAGTGGAAGTGTTTGTAAAAAAACCCAAGTTCCCCAGGGAAAAAATTATGGCCAATTTTTGAGGAAGCAGCTGTGCTCCCTTTTGGGTGGTACTGAGTTGGGTGCTTGAGGATTGGTGGTGTCTTGTGTGAGGCTGCATCATGTGGTGTGTGTGTGTGTGTGTGTGAGTGTGTGTGTGAGTGTGTGTGAGAGAGAGTGTGTGTGTGTGTGTGTGTGTGTGGGTGGGTGTGTGGGTGTGTTTTTGTACAGGTGAGGCTGTTTTCTCAGGAGAGATTTCCCATTTATATAACTCAATCACCAGTGTCCACTTCCAACAATAAAATCCACCCCCCTCTACTCTCTCTGTACAGTGACTCCTCCACCCTCACCAGAGCCATCCCTGGGTCTGGCTTCTTATCCCCACTGCTCAGGTGGAGAACCTGAAGGGCCAAGGGAGTGGCCCCAGCTCCCGAGTTCCTGAATGAGAAAGTGAAAACACGAACCCAGGAGTGTGGGCCAGTGCTGACGCTGACATGCACTTAGTCATGGGGTGTTCGCCACCATGCAGGGAGTCCAGCATTCGTGTATAAACCCTAAAGCACAGAGCCTAAGAGGTCCCAGACACTGCCCATCACCATAAAGTGGCCTACATGGTCACACGACCCAGGGCAGTTATAGGCACATCTCCCCACGGGCTGCTGTAGTCATCAGTGTGTCAAAAGCACAAAGATCCCCGGGTGTTTGGGTCAGCTCACAGACTTTTTTTTTTTCAAACTTTTATTTAAAGTTCGGGGTACATGTGCAGGATGTTCAGGTTTGCCACATACATAAACATGTGTCAAGAGTTTGTTGTACAGATTATTTCATCACCCATATATTAAGCCTAATATCAGCTATTTGTCCTGATCCTCCCCCTCCTCCCACCTCCCACCCTCCAGTAGGCCCCACATTCACAGATTCTAAGAGGAGTGGGGGACCACGCAGGCCAGTGCGGCCCACTTCAGTTGTGAAGTTAATTTGCTCAGCAACTGGCCAAAGCCTATAAGGATGGGTGATGTATTTTAGTAGATTTAGTAATATTATCTTCCCAAGCCCTAAAATGCTCAAATCCTGCCAGCTGAAAATGGTGAGGAGGGACAGATGGGAACTCTGTACAGTAGTTGGTTATTAGCCTGGCTTCCGTCCCCTCGTGGCAACTCTCTTGTGCATGTGGGTTAAAGACCCTCAGCCTCAAGCCAAGCCTCCTCCATGAGAAGCCATCTCACTATTGACTGGCTAGTGCCGTGTATGGCCACCAACCCAACAGAAACAAAACGTGGCTTTAAAACAAGTGTAAATCTCATACGACAGGCAAATGCAGAAGCAGCATGTCTTGCAAGTTGTAAAGAAGACAGTCGCAGTGTCGCTGGACTTCACTGTGGGTAGACGACGTGAGGGAACTCTGTCACTGAATCACGGCAGAGTTCAAGGCCACTTGTAGACTATTTCATGTTACAGAAGGTGGCCTTTGGCTCCTAAGCAAAGACCTCTGTTTCTCATTTCTTTCCTGTTCATCTTATTGGTCATCCTTCTTCTGCAAGGGAAAAGAGCCGAAGCAAAAGGCAGTTTCAATATTAATCTGACCGAGGTTTTGTGCTGTTTATTATCATCCAGGTAATCAGGTGCAACCCGGTCTGCCTACCAGCCCCCCTGCCCCTGCTCTGTGTTTTCATTTAATAAACATTTTGGTCTACTTACTATGTGTTAGATTTTCTGGAGACCACAGAGTAAATGAGATAGAATCTTTATGTTGATAGCTAACTTAGATTTAACATAACTGACAAAAATTAAGATTTCTGATTTCTTGTAAGAATATTTTGTTTGTGTGAATACATGATGAATGTAAAGTGGTTAACAAAAAAAATCACACTTGCACTCATGGAGGGCTTTTCAGGAATTTGTCAATTTCTATTTTTTTATATTTCCCCACTTCACTGGATAAAGCATATCTGAACCTGGAAGCTGATTCCCACTGCAGAAAGCGTTCTGAGTCATGTCCCTTAGCTTCACTAGCGCAGGTCCACCCGGGAGGATGGCCCAGCATCAGCTCGGCCCATGCTGTGATCAGCCACCTCCATGCACCACACCAAGCAAGCTCCCTGGGTGATTCACAGTCTCCACCACCAGGGCACTGACCTTTACTCTGTGTTCTCCTAGCCCCCTGTGGGGATGCTATACAGGACATCTCTGACGAAGACACTGTATATGACATCTGCGATGAGGACGTTGTAGACATCTGTAATGAGGACACTGTGGACATCTCTAATGAGGCTGCTGTACCTGACATCTTGAATGACGCTGGAGACATCTGTAATGAGGCTGCTATAAGTGACATCGCGAGTGAGGATGCTGAAGACATCTGTAAGGAGGACACTGCAGAAAACATCGCTAACGAGGACATTGTTTACAACATAACTAATGAGGACGCTGAACAACACACCTCTGAAAAAGAAGACGCTGCCAAGGTAAGACACTTTTCTTTGTCTTGAACAGAAATGTTACTTTCCTGGCTTCTTTCCAATCAGATGTAGACATGAACATCTGCCAGTGTGCATTATTTATGACATCTGCAATTCCCTTGGTGTGGTGCTATTGCTTGGCAGCCTCTCACCAACCCATGCCGGGCACACGGGGGCATGGTAGATGGCAGTATCCACGATCCCCCGCAATGCAGAGGTGTTTCCCTCCACAGCACATTTCCCCCGTGGATTAAGAGTTGTGAAACTGCCAATCTAAATACACTTTAAAGATAAATTCTGTGGGAAAAGGTCTTGTCTTTTCCATAGGTGTTCTCCGTGCTAGTTTTGGGGGACTTTGACCTTTGACTCAATCACTATACCCTTTCTAATTTTCCCAAGTTGTTGAGAGAATATCAGATCTATGTGACGTGCATGGCATCATTTCACCCTCCTAATGTTTTCTTTTCTTTAATTGCAGGAGCCATTTATATTGGAAAACGGTATGTACCCTGAAATAACTCACTTCCTGAGGGAAAAACGCTGTCTATAGGGTATAGAAACCTGATTCTGGGCTCCTTTTGGGAAGGAGGATCTGGGGGTCTGGTGAGAGCAGATGGTTTTGCAAGTATAAAACAATGTCCAGAGAGGCTGGAGGGATGTCTGTGAACCAGAGGAAACACCAGGGGATCCTGTGTGAAGCACCGGGGCTTCAGCTGGGGTGCGAGGAGTGGGTGGGCCTCTCTCTAATGACTTAGCCTGGTGTTTGTGTTTCTAAAGATTTGATTGTGGAGAGCATATCTGACGACAAGGATTTTGCAGGTAGGTAACTACTTTCCAGGTAAGATCCAATGGGAGAGAGTTCCCAGGGCCCTCAGGGTATCCATGCTGCTTGGGAGGTCGAGGGAGGGGGCATGAAATCAAAAAGAAAAAGGAAATATGTGTCAAATTGGATTTGGTGTTTTCCAGGTTTCTTGTCATAATGTAAGAACTGTCTCTGTGGGCTGGGAGGGTGCTGTGTGATTTGAAGGTGATCTTTCCCAGAACACCTGGCCTTTTCTGCCTCTGCCTCTGCCAAACATCACAGCCTTTGGGTTGGACTGGTCAGCACTCCTTGGGATTGTGCAGAAGAGGTTTGGGGTTGCATCAAGTGGCACCTGTGGCGAACAGAATCTGAGGGACACAACTCTCTCACAGGCACTTACTTGAACCTGGAGACACATTTCTCCTGGTGTGTACCCAGGGGTGCAGGAGAAATTCACGGTCATCCTCTGAACGTTTAGGACTTTAAAAAGCACTCACGTTTCCATCTCGCTGTTGACTCCTGGCTTAAAGGGAGCTCCTAGGGTGAGTGACGGAGGCGGGATCGGACCCTGGCAGTCTGACGGCAACACCTGTGTTCCTCTGCACTGGGCCTTGGACAACATTACACACCTTTGTGAGAATCAGGAATTATACACCTTTGTGAGAATTCGCATCTGGAATTGAGATGGACCTTGAGTCATATAAATAAGTTGGAAAAGATGCATTTTATCACCCTGTTGAAAGAAACCATTTATTTCTCACTCCAGCAGGATAAATGGTTTTCAGTGTCTACTTAACTGCTCATTGACTCTTACTGTAGATGAGGAGGTGGCAAGCAGGCCCTGCCCTCCCCCAGTTGTAGGGCCAAGGTAACCAGCAATTGGCTGGATATAATGGAAGAGTGGTGCATTCGGAGGTATCTGTATTAATGGGACCCGCATGATATCGGTGACAGCTATTAGGGTGAGAAAAAACGTGGGAGCACAATGAAATGTTTAAATATTAAACAAAACATTGTTGAAATCTCCATGGTACTTTAGTAGTCGAAGTCATTCTTGTGGTCATCACTGCTTTTCCCAAACATAACAGGCTACTTAATGTCACACGGACCCATGCCATGAGGAATGACAATCAGTTTGTAAAATGCCAATAAAGCCATTGCCCGTATAAGCCACAATATTTCATCCATATATTTCAATGTCCATGTGTAAATATGGTTCAAATGTCAGAATTTATTATTATCTAATAGAATATGCATGGTATATCCATGAGCAATAACCATTATACTATTTCTATTAACAATTATTTGTATGATGAAAAACACAGACTCCCATTCTTGGAGTTTTCTGAGTTTGCACACATTAGCATGACAGCCCCATGTTCACCTGACGTGTGCCAGCATGAGACCAGGAACAGAGGCTTTTCCTATTAGCTAAGGTTTCTAAATGTATTACGTATTCATGGTTAGAAATTACTCTAAATATCATAAAAGGTTAGCAAGGAAGTTTCCCTTCCACTCTGAACTTCCAAACACCAAGTCAACAGTTTTGTTCACATATCATCCCTACAATCTACGTGCAAATAGAAACATGTATCTGGCATGCATGCTGATGCGTGATCATGTTTATACAAAGTTTCTGCACCTCTGCATATGCCACTGGGCAATGCACCTTAGTTATCATTCCACTTTTCAACTGTAAATCCATTGTATTGTTTCAGAGCTATAAAGTACTGCACCCTATGACTATTCCCAAAATTACTTAAGCACCGCCCTCTGGGTATCCATTAGTTCTGTTTCCAGTCTTGCTCTTATGACCAATGCTGTAGTGAACAGCACTGTGTTGAGTGAAGTGGTGAACGTGGCATCTTTGTCTTGTTCTAGTCCTCAGGGAGAATGCTTTCAACTTGCCCCATTCAGGATAATGTTGGCTGTGGGTTTGTCATAGATGGCTTTTATTACCTTAAGGTATGTCCCTTCTATGCTGATTTTGCTGAAGGGTTTTAATCATGAAGAAATGTGGCTTTTGTCAAATGCTTTTTCTGCATCTATTCAGATTATCATATGATTTTTGTTTTTAATTTTATTTATGTGATGTATCACATTGATTGACTTGCGTATGTTATACCATCCCTGCATCCCTGGTATGAAACCCATTTGATCATGGTGGATTATCTTTTTGATATGTTTTTGGATTCAGTTAGCTTGCATGTAGCATTTCTTATTATTCCATCTGTGGAATGTATTGGTTTAAGTAATGAAAACATATTCTATCTTCACTGCTTAGCACTTTCTGTTTCTTTAACAGCCTTCCCAACAGGGCAGCATAAAAGCAGGAGCCCTGCTAGTCTCCGCTTAACCTGGAATCCCCCCTTCTCCACAGCTCGCTCATTGGACAGGATAGACTGGGCACCCAGGCCTCAGGGTAAGGACATGCTCCATCACCTACAGGTGCAGTGCCTGGGAAGGCCAACCGTGGAGGGGCGCTGCCAGCTTTACAGTGATAGAGGTGTTCACAGAGGGACTGACCACCAATTCATAAGGCTGTGCTCTGTTGGTGACGTCAAGGATTGTTTCGCAGATTGTTGGGGAGGGACAATCCCAAGGCCTCACCTGGTCCTGGTCCTGGTCCTGGTCCTGGTTTGCACAAAGGCAATAAGAGAGGAATGGTCAGGGCTGACCTGTTGCTGTGCTGGGGAGGAAGGTGCTGGACTGAAATTCAGGAGGCTGAGGATGTCCTGTTGCTGTGCTGGGGAGGAAGGTGCTGGGCTGAAATTCAGGAGGCTGAGGATGCAGCAGTCCCATAGGAGTACATGACCTTCAGCATACGGTTTCTTAATTGATGATAAATGGAAATGATAAATCATTGACGATTTTTTTCTATCATTGGATATCTACTCTCTACTGCTCGTGCTGTTCCTGTCTTTATGGAGAAGATAGAGGATCAATCAGTGTGTGCTGCACTGAGTGGAAGGAAGGAGAACTGCAACAAAAATTAAGGGAGGATGAGGGATGGGAGGGCCCTTCATCCAGGTGCTCACAGAGTCCTCCTGAGGAGGAAAGCCCCGTGGCTCCCTGGGGAAGGAGCCGTGAGGGCTGCGTGACTCCCACAGTGAAGTGTGTGGTATGTCTGAGGACACCCAGGCTGGTCTGTGAGGAGCCAGTGGCAGAGTGAGAAGCAGCAAAGCCAGGAAGGTGGCTGGAGGCCAGGCTCTGAGTCATTCTCTGCGTGATGGAAACAGCCAGAGCCCAGTGGGCTTGGAGGTGCAGGATGTGGTAGCTGATGACAGAACAATGTGGAGGGGTGCCAGGTGTCAAATCCTTACTTTGTTCTGGGCATTGTGCTAAAACTTCCTGTGGCTCACCCTTTTTAGGGGCTGAAAGTTGCAGAAGTTTAGGAAACTCGCCCATGATACTGGAGCCCCCATCTCCTGCCCTAGTGCTGTCCCCCTTCTCACCCAGCCACCACCTGTTTCAGGGGAACACACAGAAGTGATAACCTTTTATGGACATACAAGTAAATTCTACTGTTTTTGTTATTCACAGGAAAAAAACATTGGCTCATGTGGGTTGGGAAGGTGAAATACCAGAAGTATTTCATCTGGTTATTTCCACCAACATGAATCCTGTAGTATTGAGATGCATAGGTTAGCATTTTTGGCCAATTTACTCAGCATTCCGGGTTAAAGGCTCTTTATTTATTTATTTATTTATTTATTTATTTATTTATGAGATGGAGTTTTGCTGTTGCTGACCAAGCTGGAGTGCAACCGCATCTCCGCCTCCTGGGTTCCAGTGATTCTCCCTCAACCTCACAACTAGCTGGGATTATAGGTGCTCACCACCCATGCCTGGCTAATTTTTTGTATTTTTAGTAGAAACAAGGCTTCACCATGTTGGTCAGGCTGGTCTCGAACTCCTACCTCAGGTGATCTGCCTGCCTCAGCCTCCCAAAGTGCTGGGATTACAGGCAAGAACCACCACACCCAGCCTAAAGGCTTTTAAAATTCACTTGTATAAGCTGACTTAGTTTTCTTTAACCTTGTAGAAAAAATACAAAAGTGGCAGTCTCTTTTATCACACAAATAATGTCGTTTTAGTAGAGTTTTTTTCTTTTTCTTTTCTTTCTTTTTTTTTTTTTTTGAGCCAGAGTCTTGCTCTGTCACCCAGGCTGGAGTGCAGTGGTGTGATCTCAGCTTACTGCAAGTTCTGCCTCCCGGGTTCACTCCATTCTCCTGCCTCAGCCTCCCAAGTAGCTGAGACTACAGGCGCCCACCACCACGCCTGGCTAATTTTTTGTATTTTTTAGTAGAGACGGGGTTTCATCATATTAGCCAGGATGGTCTCAATCTCCTGACCTCGTGATCCACCTGCCTCGGCCTCCCAAAGTGCTGGGATTATAGGCGTGAGCCACCACACCCGGCCAGTAGAGTTTGTTTCTAATTGATATATTATGTACTTTTCATTCACTAATTAATTGTTTACATTTGAAGTGTTTTATGAATTAATATTTAATTGCATAGATGAACATTACTAGTCATAGGCATTTTACTAACCAGTACTCATTAAGCATAGCATGGATTCATGTGATGTTGCACACTAAAAGAGTGAGGGTCGTGATCAACTCAGTGTGCCACTGGAGGCTATATGAGTAAACAGCAAACTGTTCTCATGAATACAGAATGTTGGCAAACTGACAAACTGCGTCTGCCACCCAGAGGGAATGCTGAGAGCAGTCACGCCCCAGGTGCAGCATTGCTTGAGATTAGGCACATCTGAAGCCTGTTAGCAATAATGTGAACCTGTGAACAATTGAGAAGCTGACTAATCATTGCCTCCTGCTCCCTACTCTTTCTACTCAATAAATACGAAGAGCTGTAGAAGCTGAGGGCGGCCGCCTTTGCCCACTAGAAGCTGGAAGCCCTCTTCTTCTTCCCTGACCCCTTCTTTAAACAGTTTCTTTTTTCCTTGGTTTTCATTTCTTCATTCGCCCTCCTTCGTTCAGTCCCGCAGTAACAGCGGCAAACCATGGGGACTGTCACAATATGATGTCAAGGAGCTATTTTATTTGGTGAAAGGGAAAAGATAGCACGAGAACGAATGCAAGAGCTGGACCAGTGGAGACACCGACAGTGATTTGTCTAAGATCTAAATCACTCTGTTGTCTTCCCAGCCTCCTTACCATCCTGATCACTGTCATCAGCATTGTTGGGTCCTTTTAGCACAGATTTCTCAAAATGGGCAACACTGTAACACTTGGAAGCTTATGAATAATTCATATAATTTGTAAGAGGGCAATTTTGGAGTACCTATTTTAAAATTCCAATAACCTGGGAATTTCATCCCATGTCTGGAGTGTTTTATGTAAAATATTTCCACAATTAGGAGAAATATGTGCATGGGGATTTTCTGTGTAGCAGTGTTTTGATAGAATAGAAAGTTGGGACAAACCAAATTTCCATCACGAAGGAAATAGTCATACACTGAATAATATACAGCGAATATTATGCAGGCTTTAAATATCAAAAAAGAGCTCAATGTCTGACTTCCAATGATCATGTTGAAGTGCGTCACAGCTGGTTGACATTTGATTTTCATGTGGGAACTCTGGAAGTCTGCCTTAGTGATTTTACATGCAGCTAAATTTAGCTAATGAAAAGCTATTCGAAGTATGGCAAAATGGAACTTTAAAACAGTATCTCATTAACAGCCAAGTGGACCTGTTTCACGTAGAGCCCACGCATTCATCTGCCTGCCCATCACTCTGTCTGTCCACAAGGGCATCATTTGTTAGTGGAACTGAGTGCCCACTGTCGAGCTGACAAGCCCATACCTCCCTGTTCCTAGTCACACATTAATTCTTCAACAAATCCCTTTTGATTATGATTAAGCTTAGCCTCTATTTCCAATTGCTTCCCCAAACGTACTTCTCACTGTTCTCCCATCACACCCTTCAGCCCATCCATGCGGGGTTCCTTTGCTTTTCCCACCTTACACTAAACTCCATATTTTTACTCCCACTTTTACCTCCTCTCTAAGACAAAACAAACTAGCATTTTAAAACTTAGTTGTAATATTTCTTCCTTCATGAAAATTTCTCCAACAGCCACTCCCATGGCCCTGTGTGTTTTGGATATTTTTAAATATTGGGTATAAGGTTGAGCGCGTCAGGATATGCTGTTTCGGGCTGCACACTGTTTTGTTTGTATTGATTCTTCCTATTGGAGGCGTGGTCATTGCCTTCTCCTCCTCTGGGGAGTTTATGCCAGTGCTCTTGAATAAGATTGGCAGACAATTTTTCTTTTTATACTTAATAATTTTTTTGTTTGGTCTTAAAGATCATCCATGACTGGGGACTTTATCACAGCTGGGACTTCATCTATGGCTGGGGACTTCATTTATGACTGGAGACTTCATTCACATCTGGCATCTTCATCTACAGCTGGGAGCTATATCCACAGCTGAGGCATC